GCTAAGGTTTAATTAATCTGAGTTTTCTATCTTTTGTTCATTTGCAGTCGATGCAATGGAAGGTGAGGCTTTAGTTATAAAATGTCCCCAATGGAGTTCATCTGTGAAAGTCACCTGGTATCACACGGATACTAACAAAGTAATTCCTGCAGAAGAAGAGGGATCACGAATATTTTCCTTAAAACGATTTCTTTGGTTTCTGCCAACTTCTAGAGAGGATTCGGGAAACTACACTTGTGTTATACATTTGTAAGTACAATATTGAAAAGTGGAAGGCGTAAGACTGGAAAAAAATACATGTTTTGATAATACAGTCTAATTATTATCTGCGGAAATTATGCCATTTTTTCATGGTGTACACCACCATGTAACTTTTCTTTCTGCAACTGCTGTTTTTATGACAGGTCGTTAAAAATCAATCTGTGTCTGAACTACAGTAACCATCCATATGTTTATAAAAAACAAATCTCACATTTGTTACAAATATTTAGTATATTCCATATAAAAATACTATCATTGACATATCTTTATTCCATTTTTAAAGTTCAAATAACAGCACAAAGTCGTTCAACATGAGTGTGCAGGTTCATCCATACAAGCAAGGAGTCTGTTTCCCAAGTCAGATTCGTTACCCAAATGACACTGGAAGAGGAAAAATTGTTTGTCCTACAATTGACAATTATAAGAATGCTACTATCATCCAGTGGTATAAGGTAAATAAAACCCTGATAGCGCCAGTTGTAGATCAGCTTACCGTGAGAAGCTATTTGCAGCCAAATAAAGTTTTCTTTTCCAGGACTGCAAACCTCTTCAGGGAGAGAGATACTTCAAGGAAGAAAAATATATTTTTATTAACAACCCAAGAAAGGAGGATGATGGTTATTATACTTGTCAATTTATCTACACTCATAAAGGAAATGTGTTTAATGTATCAGCCACAAGGATTTTCATAAGTAAGGGTAAGACAGACATTTTGTACCTTGCTAGGATAAAAAAGACTGATGTCTGCTTAAAGCAAAGGAAGCTCCTTTTGTACGTTAAAGAGAAAAAAGAGTTTCTGTTGGTTTGTTTTATCTTCTTAATGAAACTTTAGATCAGCTTTTTTAGGTGAATTTTGTGGATGGGGATCCAAATGGAGCAAGATGGGGGTAAATTCAGACCTGGTCATATTCAGCTTTTTGCTAAGTGTCTCTGATGACTCTGGTTACATCCTGTGGTTGGTAGAGCTGTCTGGTAGCACTTATTTCTGAAATGAGGGTTTCCTCAGTGGGATGCCACAAAGTTCTGCTTTCTATTTGTTCGAGGGGAGAAGAATTTGTAGCTAGTAAGGATCATCTGGTGGTCATGGGATCACTGATTTGTTGATGGCCTAGAACTCAATACCTTCTGGTCCATATTGATTAGCATTTATTTGATAGTACAGCTGAAAAAACTTTTAGATTTGTCTTGAATGAGACAAAATGACTGAGAGATATATAGACAGAAAATGAGTGGAACTCAATGATTACTGTGTCTTTGTTATTTTGAACGCAGCCAACATGGCTGAGATGTGTGGATTTTGGGGTGCCTCTAAGATGCAATCTCCTCAGGGAGGCTTTGTATTTGGATGATGATCAGGGGAAAAGCATGCAGCAATCAGCAGTTCCAGATTATATCAACTTGCAAGACTTCAAAGTGTGTCTTCAGTTCTGCAAACAGATCAGTAGAAAAACAGTCAGAAGGGTTGTCAGAAAGGTTGTTGGGGTTTGGGGACAAGGGGGGCTTGGGTTTGTTTTTGGGTTTGGGTTTTTGTTTGTTTGTTTGTTTTGGTTTTTTTTTTCCCCAAAATAGATAATGTTAATTTGCAAACTGACATCAGATCTTTTTGCTGTGGGGAGGCACCCAGCTTTGTGGGCAGAATGCAGATTTGGAGTGTAGGAGCCTTGATTCCAGTGTTTGCTGCTGTGTCCAGATCTCAGTAGCAGAGTTTGTTCTGATTATTCTGAGCTGGGCAGAAGAGAGATTTGAGCTGAGACCTTCTACAGTAGCTTAGGAGGTGTCGTGCCTTTCCTCCCCCTCTTCCCTGTAATACCCTGTTAGGCTACATGACACTTCTCTGACTAGCATTTTTGTTTGAATATACTTTCATCAAAACTCCACTAACTGGTCAGGAATATTGTTGTGTCTGGGTTATAATGAAAATTGCTGGGTTTTATCTGGCACAAAGGCATCCAAATTTACAAAAGCCTTTGTTACATCCAGACAGATAACTTCATTTTAAAGTTAACTGACTTTTTGTTTTGAAATCATTGGAGAAAGAAGGGATTGCAACATAACATGTGAAATCTGAGCTGGGTCTGTCATGTCTGCTCCAGTTTTTACTAAATTCAGAGTACTTAATGACAACTTCTTTATCAGACCTTAAAATTAGTATGCTGATGAGTGGAGCTGTAATGTTTTGTTAATATTGGCTTATGATGTACATTCCTGTTGCCTTGCGGATCCACACTGACCCAGAGGACCTTCTGCCTCTGAATGGTGGCAGCAGCATAGTCAGCTAGCTAGGAAGTTACTTTCTCCTGACTTCTTTTTTACCAGATCCAGCTAATGAAAATTAGAAACAGTTAGGACAGGTAAAGAGAACTGCTTTTCTGGCAGCCTGGGAAGCAGGGGGTTAAATGAGTTCCTGCAGATTTTTTAGGGAAATACGGTTGTGGGTTTCACAGAGGTGCCTTGAGATGGAAAAGCTTAATGAGGGAAAGGATAGCAAGCAATGTGTTTGGAGTGGGAAATATGAGACAGTATAAAGGCCAAGAAAAGAAGAAAAATGCATCAAGGGAAAAAAATCTTAAAGATCCGAATACCTAATTCAAGTCAAGCAGCTGGATATAGTTTGGACCTGTCCATAACAATTATTAGTGGGGATGGAAAATAAATAAGTCAAAGGAAAAGTCGTATTCCTTCTAAAACGTATCATAAGAGATGTCCAATGTCATGGCAGACTGGTGTAATGGGAAGCAGTTGTGTGCGGCAGCGGTGCGCAGAGAGCGGAGAGAGAGGCCTGGGAACCAGACGCGCTCCGCTGCCAGGCTGCGGAGATGGGGGAAACAGAGGGGAACACGGGCAGGCAGGCAGCTCTGGGCTAGAGGGTCCCCAGTTCAGATGCTGCATGAAAGTACATATTCACTATTTCATATCATGGATATGAGTAATGTCTCAAATGTCTGAAGGAATTTCTTTCTCTCTTTTTAAAAACAAGATAAGCAACTGAGAAAACACGCAAAACTATAACTGCGTTTACTTTTTTTCCCACTCAGCAGCTAAAACAGTACTTGAGAAACTAAAAATTTTCCTTCCTCTTTATGTGCAAAGGTAAAAATTAAATACATGGGGAGAAAATACTTGAACTATTAACATGTACAGGAATATTTGGTCATAGAAATGAAATCAGATGATCCCAACAGACATGTGAAACACTGTTGTAGTGTTAGTTTGCAATTCTGCTCTGGGATCTTAAAATACTAACTGCACAGATTATAATCATTATCTTACAAAATGCTTTTTCATAACTTTCTGATATGAGCTTTCTTTCCCTTCTTGATTTCTAAAGCAAAACATTCACCGCTACCTCTTCAAATTTTATTTCCAAAAGATAAAAGTGTAAAAGAAGTGGAGCTTGGTAAGTACGGACTTTAAATTGCTTTTAAATTAACATTTTGTGATGGCCTAGCAAACATGGGGATCTTAAAGAAGATTTAATGATGGAATTTTTCATTACATTTTTGCACCATAATGTTTACCAGATTTAATTCACCCCAGGCACAGTGATGTGAAGTTAGGTATAACTGATAGGTTATTTAGGTATTAAGCAGCAGTTTAAGGGGATTTAAATAACCCATTCTACCCTTACTGGGATAGAGTAGGATTACTCACACGGTCAATTATTACATTTCAGCTGAAGGGGTGACAGCTTCACTTCAAAGCCCACTTCAAAGAGGGCTTTAGCTAAATCCCTTGAAACTGCTTGATGGTACCCCTAAGAGAGAAGGATGGACTATTCTTACAACTAGAGACACTCTTTGTTATTTGCAGTTCTGATCTGGAGACAGGGGCATCTCTGCTGATGAATGAAGGAGAGCAAGGGACTGGTCGCTGGCCCTGAGGCTGTGGAGCACTGCCTGGCTCATGTCCACATTGGCTAGCGTTGAGCAGACCTGTCTGGTTGGAAGATACCGAGAGGGCTGAAAGACAGGACCAAGGAGCGAACTTAGAAATAGCAGGTTGGAGAGCCTGCAATGCAGAGCTTGCTCCCTGGCTCCCTTTCATTTAGGACCATAGATATTCTCAGTGATTCTGTATAACTTGCAGCATCAGAGCAAGGTGCTTGTGGTAAGAGTAAAAGCCATCTAGGGTTTTTGTATAGTCAACGGAGAAAGATGGACTTCTCCAGAAAGCGACTGAGCCCATCTGAAACGTAAATAGGTAGCCCCAGGATACCTGTCTTCCAGGGCAGGTGGGATGAATCTGGGCCACTGGGAGATGGGATCGCAATTAGCACTCCACTGTTTGTGTCCTACAGCAAGATTGCTGTGGTAGCAGGTACTGCAGGGGCCAGGGCCCCTGTCTGAGGTGCCACATACTCAGAGACTTGTTGATTCGCGTTCCCGTTCTTTTTTTCCTCTTTTCCCCAGTTGCTTTGTCACTCAGACTTAGATGATCTAGCTCCAGGACCACCTTTCTCTAATAAGACGGTCAGTCTCTAGTGCTCTGTGGGCTCTGCCCACCCCTCTGGGACAATAAGTAATGTGGCACTACTTGCAAGGAGCAAATTTACTTTACATTTGAAAACCATTTGCTGTACTGGATCTATTGTCTCCTATTTGCAAAACTGAAGGCATTTCTCCATGCTCCCTAATACCAATTCAGGATGTAAGTCATAAGATTTGTTAATCTTATCTAAGCCCTGCTTAGATGCAGATTTACACGGAAGTAATTTAAAGTGTTTTAATTATACCTTCTTTCAGTGCAACAGTGACTCTTACTTTGGAATAAATATTTCCTAATGACAAATACTAATGACAAAAGTAATTTCCTGTTTTAGTTTTGCTTGGACTGCTTTACTTTACTTTTGTCCAGCTTGAATAAAACCCAAGATAAGAGTCTGCACACAAGACTTATGCAAAATAATATATACTGAAATTAAATTATGTTATTTCCATGTACATTTGTGTGTAAACCAGCATTTACTTTCCGTGTTCCTCAATAGCTGATTACATGGGTTAAGCGTCACAAGTAAAGTCTACATTGCCTTCATCATAACAAATACAAATAATTCCTTTTGTAATCCTTGGTGTTGTATTAGACCATTTGTTAAAATCTCCTTTTACTATGTCTTTTCGAGTCTCTTCTATGCATCATTTTCTCAGCAGAAAAATGTGTCAAAATTGTTAAGACAAAACTCACAGGTGGTATGAAGATTTGTAGAAAAATATGCTATGAGGAAAATAAAATTATGCCTGTTTTTCATCAAGGAATGTTTACAACTCTCTGTATCTTGATTAGGTGCTCCTTTGTCTCTGAAATGTCAGGCCCGCCTGGGGATTAAGAAACAGCCGATAGCTGTTGTCACCTGGCATGTGGATAACATCCCGGTGAAATACTTAGATTTTTCAAGATTTCATGAAAAAACTCATTTGTAAGTATATATAACACAGAACAACCTTTCTTCTATGCAAACTGTGCCTAGCTGTTAAAGCCAATGGTACCAGCTCTTTCCTTCTCTTAGTTTTGAAGGACGTGAGCAAGAATATTACGGAGAGACCACTTTGCATATTACTGAAATAAAAGAGGAGGATCTGCAGGCAAATTTCAGATGTGTAGTGGTGAACGAAATGCACAACACAAAGGCCACGGTGACGTTACAACTCAAAGCACAATGCGAGGGTAGGATTTTTTCATTTTGTTTTCTTACACTTTGCACTGTTTGAAATATGTTGGTGAGTTGGTTTTATTATTTGTTTCTGTTAGTAAGAAAGTTTCTGCTAGTAAGAAGAAAAGCCAGACTACTTCCTCCCTACATATTCAAGCCAGTGGAAAAATTCTTGTGGCTTCATTAGGTTATGAAAGTCCTTGGGGTAAATTGTGCTGGGGGAGGGCATTACTCAAATGGTATCAGTGAGAGATTAAATATGCAGAGCAAGACAGTGTATCAACCCTGTGATAAGAATATCCTGTTTCTAGGATATTTCTGTTCGGTGACAAATTCCCCCTGCCTTGAAGGCATGCGGTACACTTGGATTTGAAGCACACTGGTATAGTGCAGTCTGCTCTACAAGATACTCAGGCTGTAGAGGATCCTCTACAGATGAGAGCTGGGCAAGGAACTGACCTCTCCTTTGGTCATCAGCGTCACAATGCATCGTGAGGAGCAGAGATTCGTCTTCTTTTGAGAATCAAACTGTTGTTTCTACTGCAGAACCATGGCAGAAAATAGGCAAACTTTAAAAGAGTTTCAGCTGCCAGTTTACCAGTTTGCTTGCCTTCCCTCCTGTACCACATTCACTGTGGTGTCTTGTTTTTTGACTGAATGTTAAGTGGCGTGACTAACTCCTGCGATGTCTGGCTTTATCCTCTCTCCCTCTGAGCACCACTGTGTTCACTGTGTGCCACACAGAGGTGTGAATAACACTTTGAAGGCTTTCCCTTGGTTTTGTTTTTAAATTCATGATTCTAGTAATTTCTGCCAGAGAAGGAAAATTGAGGTCAGTAAATGGTGGGGACTGGGGTGGTCTTTAGCTCCTATGGGAATTTTTTTTTTAATCTCAGATCCCTGAGAAAGCACTGTCACCAGCTCCACTGAGTTTGATTCTTATGGCAGAAAATGTTATTGTGTCTGTGAAGGCACAACAAGAAGCTGCGGTCAATGGTTTCCTTTCTTATCCCTTCAGATATGCTGAACCACCAAGGATCTTGAGAAGAAATCCCAAGGTCTTTAACAGGGTTTAGTTTTCTGTAAGAGAATGCTGGAAAGAGTAAAATCAAGTGTATTGTGATCACAGGGTATGCACAGCTCCACGTCCTGCAGTATTCTTGACTGTTTGCAACTTCCTACGGGATTATGGCTTCAAAGCATAGACCTGTTTCCTTGCCATAGCCTAGACTAGAAGATATGTAGGTGAATTATAACAGAGGATGGGTCACCATCCAGCAGGACAGCACCAATTCCCCCCAGAGGAAGGTGGCAGGAGATGTTTTGGTTGGATATCACTAAATGAGTGCAAGCGTAGCATCACTCAGGAAGCTGGAAACACATCAGCTCTGCACTGAATTATCTGAGTGTGGGAGTGTACTTGCAATGAGAGGAAAGGAAACTGAGTAACAGTTCCTGCTCACCCTAGTTCAGGCAATACAAGTCCTTTATGGGCCCTGTATTACAAACGACATGAAGGAAAGAGGGTATTTTATATTCTGTATTCATCAAGTGATGATTTCTGTTGTAGACAACTGTTATTTTGTTTTTTATCCATAGGTCTTCAGTAAACGTTCATGAAAGCTCTTGACTGTGACCCCCCTTTGCTGCTGCCTGTTTTGTGTGGATGTCTGTCCCCTTCTCCTTGTTGCTGCTGTTGTCAAGATGCCTGCTTCTGCTGCTCAGCATTGTTGGTGTAAGCAATGCTACATCTAGAAATGGTGTGCTCTGCTTTAGTTTTCTTCACTCACTCCTCACACAGCTGAACAATATTTATGCTAAAACAATGACAGCTTGCCTCTGAGTATAATAAAAATGCTGTAGGGTTTTCTTACGCCTCACATCTTGTAAATGTGTAATAAAAATGCGTAGTCCTTTTTTGTGTTTTGTTTGTTTGTTTCTTTGTTTATTTTTAATGAAAACAACCAGTTGTGGTTTTTTTTTTAAATATGCATTTCTTCCTTAGTGTTTCTCACAGCACAAATTGTGTCTGCTAGCTACTATCCTGTTAATGTGCTTTTTACACAAGTTCCTGCTCTGTATTCTGACTTTTTTTTCAGGGCATTCAGTACGGGTTACATTGTCATTATTTGTAGCACAGATCTGTGATAGGAAGTAAGATATGAATAGGTGTTGTGCCACTTACTACTCAAACCAGTCAATTTTGGGGACATTTAATGAACTAGATAAATAGCGTTTAGCTGCACAGGTGACAGATTAAGGGAGGAAACAAAGATGCTGTAAGCAATTGCGTTAGAGTTGCTGTTCAGTCTTACAGCCATAGTCCCTTCTTCAAAAACCTGCTGAATGAATGATTTGGCTCATCACATGGAAATTTTCAATGGTAACCAGGAATTAAATCTATTTTCCTGAGTCATAATCAAATACTTCAGGTCTTAGTTCACTATGGGTAATATCATTATAATTAACCCTAGCAATTTGCTTTGATAACAATTGCAATCCACACAAGAATAAAAAATTGCCAGAGAGGAGTGATGAGAAAAGGAGGAGTGAGTTTCACAGTCAAGAGTGGTGAAAAAAAATACTCCCTTAATACTGTCAGGAATGGATGTCATTGGCAAAGCTGCTTGACATTCCACAGGGAAAAAAATATGTTTTCCAGTTTAGGATATATGCTGTGCACCCATGTATGTATTCACATATGTGTGTGAAGAAAAGTGCTGTATTGTGAAAAAAGTGTCTGTCTCAAGTGTCTGTCCCAGGTGTCTTTTCACCTATCTTTTTAAATAGGAAAAATGTGCTGCTAAGAGAAGCTGATCAGCTCTTTAGAAATGAGCTACATGACCTATGTACCTCAGTTATCAGGAGTAATGCAATGCAGTCAGCTCCTTTTGGTGTGATTTGGTGGTATCCAGAGTATGCACACTATGTCTTTTGGACACAGACAAATCAGGCAAATTCTTTAACAGGAGAATTTAATGAGGATTTGGCTATGAATTTTGACAGTCTCTGCAGCTGTGTTCTTGCCTCCATTAGGAGGTGCTAATGTCCCTGCATCTTTCAGCTGCTGCTGCTGCTACGTTCAGAGGATGCTTCTTCTCCCGCTGAGGAAGACCTTTCTCTGTTTTTTCTCATCCACCCCCTGCCTAGTCTTTGATCACCCCTAGTCAATATGGAACTCATCCTTCCACACTATTTCCCATCCTTTCTCTCCCCTCTTTGCCTGAAGCTGTTTGGTAGCTTCTGACTCCTTCACCAACACTTGTTCATAAACACATTCTTCATGTCTCATAATACCTCTTTACAGAAAAGATAGGCTGTCTCATTTCCTCCAGACCTTTCAGTCCTGTATCTCCCTTTTTAATTCCAGAGATGGTGATCATCCAGTATTTTACATTCCCTCTCTGCCACAAGACATATCCTCTCATGTGCTCTGAGATCATCTGCATAACTTGTGTGGTGTGCCTCTGGTCACTGTAAGGCTAAGGAATTTGCAACAACTTTTAATTCCCTTTTCTTTCACCTTCCCTGACAAAGATGTAGCTCGTCTTGCTGGACACCTGGCAAAAGACAGCGACTCTGCCTGCCAGACTACTCCCAGTTGCCCTCCACAGCTGCTTGGTATGTCTCACGCTGGAAGATGCCACCTCTCAGGAACGAGAAAACTAATCGGCTACACCATTCACACCTGTTCAGCTCATTGATAGCTGCAGTGGATCAATGCTCACAAAAGCTGGCAGAGGTGGGGAAGCTGTTAGCTCCCGAGACAGAGGCAATGACAAGTAATTGGAGAAACACTGAAAGTATTAACTCCTCCTACCAGCAGAGCTGGGTCAGGACAGGAACATCCCTTCAGCATCCCCTTTAACCTGTCTGCTAGAGAATACACGGGCTGTCTGAATACCTTCCAAGTCCTTCCCTTTTTATTAATATATAAACTGCCACTGGCTTTTAGTTCCTCATCTTGACTCAGGGCTGGTTAAATAACTGGAGGTGGCTTTTCATGTGTCTGACCCACAAGCATCATCTTATTTCTCCCTGAGCATTCCTCAATTCTCTTCACAAGGAAGTGTAAAACGCCCAGAGGACCACAAATCTTTCTGGCGTGAACCCTCTTATCTGGAGAATGCCAGAAATTCCAGTCATTCGGAGCAGAGATAAAGTTCAGCCCAGAACATCAGCTCTGTTCTTCCTCAAAGATATTTAATGCCAAACCTAACCTTTTGGCTCATCTTTGGCAGAGGGATGTGGACAGGAATTCCAGACCCAGATCTCTGCTTTTACTGTCTGGAAGTGCGTCCACCTTAGAAGCCAGAGAAGTTACAAAAAACTGCTGTGCTTCCGGAGTTTGTCAGGAAATCATTCAAATGTTGCTTTCTGACTTGTTTTCTCTGGCCCCTCAAATATTGTTTCTCGTGAGCTGATAGTTCTGTGTTCCCATTGCTCTTGAATATAAATAAATAGTATTAGAAGACAGTCTACTCATGAACTCTCTGCCGCTAAATGATGCAGCAAAGTCAAACGGAACAACAGGATCTGCTCAACCTTGCTCAGGGCCTTCAAAAATGGCTTCTGGCCGATGCCCCCATTGTGCTGAAGATAGCTGATTTATTCCAGAGAGACGAGAGGCTGAGTCAGCCTTCCTGGGAACTGAACCTACTCTTCCAGGAAGACCCCTGTGGGGTTCTTGTCTGACGCTTTACAAGCTGTATAAGCACAGGAAATCTATCACTTCTTTTCCAGCCTTGGTCTAATCAGTGCAAAACCAAATGTAAACAGTGTTTTTTAGGGTCGTAATTGCAGAAGTTGTTGTTGGGACCTGTTTCTTTTCTACATGTTTTATAGATACTTACGCAATGCATTACAACAGTATTTGTAATGTCGTGGCGAGCACACTCTCAACAAATGAAGCAATAAGAAGTAGTGGCAATCTCTGATCCTTGGGTCGTCTTCACCAGGGAGTGGAAGAGGTTTCCTGACTTTGTCTCTCTGTGTGTGTTTGGAAAATGGATCAAATCATAAAATTTGAAGGGGTCCACAAGAACAAAGTTCCTTCATGGGCATCATGTGACACTGTTAAAACTACCAAATGGCCAAACTTCACTGTAAAAGAAACTGGTTGTTTTCTTGCCCACTTCAATCTTATTGGAAGGTGGTTTCCCCAGATCTCCTAGTTCTGTGAGGTATGCTTCATCACATGCCTGATGTTTCTTTCTCCCTTTAAATGACAAAGAAAAAAACATGAAGAGTGTGAAAATCACATCAAATTTACCTCGCATCCTACCAGAGGAAAGGGAATATGTGCTTGTAAACTCTTTATTTGTGTACCTTTTCAGTGGAATTTCTCAGACACTAATATTTTTAGGTTGCCTCGTAAGTACTATTCAATACACTGCCTTATTCAACCTCTCCTGGAGAAGCCAGGGAACCTGCAATTTTCCGCATGAGCGACTCTTCACTGCTAAGTATTTTATCTTATTTCATTCACTTAATGAGTGCCAAGTCCAAGCGAAAGCTCTGAAATTGATCCTTGGTGGTGGTCAGTGCCTTCACCTGGTAGCAAACTTACTGGCTGCACACAATCTGCAGCATTTTCCAATCTGTCTTGCTGTCTCTTCTGTAGAGGAAATTGAGACTGGCTCTTCAGCCCGCTGTAAGATGCACCTCCTCAAGTGCCGGTGAATGGCCTGCTGCTGCAGCCACATGTGTCTTGTATGTGTTTTGCAGGCAGAGGGAGGAAAAGCCCTGAATGCCTGGTCCCTGCTCTGAAGGCTTGGCTGGGTGCAGTTGCTGCCAGTACATGTAATCACCCCCCATGGGTTGAGATGCTGTGAAGGGTCTTTACAGTGAGGATGCCAGAGCTGACCTCTATGTTTGTATTGCCAGAATGCTTGTATTTAAATTTATACGTGGTCAACATTCAAAGGAATATTTCTTTCCTCAGCTAAGATAATTCTGAAATTGCAGCATACCTCGAATCTCATTGTAACACTGAAGGGATACATGCTTCTAGTGGTATTCCAAGCCAGGGCATTGCATCCGGCAATTATCATATTAGCTATATCATAGTAAAATAAAAATAGATGGGCCCTTTTCTGCAGATGTGATGCACAATCTGGACATTTTCACGTGCATTTCTTTGGAGGTAAAAGTCCATCACCCAGTTCAACACCTCTGGAGGTATATTTTTTAATCCAAATAATTTCAGTGATCTGAATCACAGAAAAGTTCCCCAAATGATTATATTATTGCAACTATAGGATGATGAGTTGTCATGCTGGGCAGGAATAATTAGGTAAAGAAGGTGGACTGTGAATGGAAATCTCTCAATGCGTTTAGTTGTCAGAGAAAAAATGTACATGGAACTGCTCTGACTCTACATGTTAAAACCAAGTGGACTAGATTTAGGTATCTTTCATTTGCTTAGGAGCAGATTTCTACTATGAGACAACTGCCATTAATCTTCCCTCCAAGGGAATAATGAATCCTCTTTGTGTAACTGCTGTATAAAGTCTTTGATATTTTAATTTCAAACTTGGCTATCTGGAATTCATAGTGATTTCAATACTGCATCCTGGGTGAATTTAATATGTCCAGGACATAGGTCAAAAGTATCTTCTTCAGCTTTGTGGCTGTAGCAGTCTGTGGATTAAGCTTCCATCTTTCTAGTTTGGAGAGAGTACAAAATGACCTTGCTTCTACCTCCCATCGTCTCCTGCTGCAGCAGAACTAGATGCCATCTAGAGGATGCACATATCTAGATTGACTTCTGCTCTGCGAATCACAGAACAAGAGGAAAAATGGGCTGTTGCAGAAATGCGGCTACCTGGGTTGTGATAGAAACGTAGCTCTCCCCTAGAAGAGCGATAATCACAATCTTGTCCTAGACTAGCTGTGTGCATATCATAGCACAGAGCTGGTGACTGCCATCCTTAGAGAGTCATACAATCACAGAATGGTTTGGGTTGGAAGGGACCTTTCAAGGTCATCTGGTCCAACCCCCCTGCAATGGGCAGGGACATCTTCCAACTAGATCAGGTTGCTCAGAGCCCCGTCCAACCTGATCTTGAATGTTTCCAGGGATGGGGCATCTACCACCTCCCTGGGCAACCTGTTCCAGTGTTTCACCACCCTCATCATAAAAAATTTCTTCCTTATACCTAGTCTGAATGTATCCTTGATAAGTCTTCATCTCTGAGGTGGAAGTGCTCAGATTCAAGAGCTCTTGCATGAGGGAAGCTGGAATTAAAGTGGGTGGCTTCCTTCCTTTCCCAATTTTCCTTAATCGTCATTGCTATTTTATGCTCCTTGACCCTTTTCAAAGGAAAAGGCAGGGGACAACATCATCTTCCTCCAGCACAGTTTATTTTAATTTTGTGACCAGGACATGTTTTCCTGCTTGTTTTGCGTACTTTGTTCTTATCTTGCAGATTTTATTATTTGCATATGTTTCTCTGTACCCTGTTTGTGCAACTATGCCAGAAGCCTCCGCCTATCCTTTTGTGGACACTTAGTCATGCGCAGGCTTAGATGCCTTACAAAATGCTTGAACATTGTTGCTGGTTGTGTTATTAACAGTTTTACAATGTTACAAAATACTTAAACATCATTGACAGCTGTGGTATTTAATGTAGGTAGGTCTGGATTCAACGGAAGTAAATATTAATTCATACTGCTTAGTATGCTTCTAGTTTAGGGGTCTCTGTGTTGGCTACACCAGCTGGGGAAGGAAAAAGCTTTGTCATCTCTGTTGTAAGCTCCTTAAAGCTGCGACAGAAGTAAGGGTATGAGGGGCTTCAGCCCACAGGTTAACTTCTCTACGGCTAACAATATATTCCTCTTCTTTGCAGTGGGTCTTCCTAACGTCCTCTTGATTGTAGGATCTCTAGTTCTGCTAGTTGCAACAGCAGTCTCTGTTATACTTTATCAGTCCTTCCGAGTTGATATCGTCCTATTGTACCGGGAGATATTTCAGCCCTACTCAGCCAAGGATGGTGAGTAAGAATTGAGCAAGAAAGTTCAAAAAAAGGAAGAAGGTAAACCATATGGAAATGGATTTATTTGATAGTCGCTTGCTAACTCGTATGACACCTGAGCCTGATCCTTCGCTTTCTCATGCCTTCTGAAATCGTTTAGATAAGAGGGGACATACATAGCTCTGGTAGTGCTTTACCCTCCTGTATTTCCTGGGTTCTGTAGCGATGTGTTGTATAAAAGAAGGATTCAGTCCTGGTTTCTTGTTTTTTTTTAACAAAAATATTTGCCATGAAACATTGAATGACAGTGAAAATCTGATTTACAGTGCTATTAACTGTACTTGTTATGTGCTCTCTAAAGCGAAGAAACCAGCCTGCTGGCTAATGTGTTAACAGGCATGTGTTAGAGAAATACAGTTTTTATAAGCCAAAGAGAAAGGTACCAATATTGTGGAAGACACTTTTGGGGGGAATACATCCCATCCCAACTTTAGGGGTGGACTTCAGCTCAAGATTAAGACTAAATTTAGTCGCACGCAATGAAGGGGCACACATGCAAGTTCCCATCGTAGACATGAGACCTGGAGACCTTGGGCTGGGTTCAGCTGTCTAACCGTAAGCTGCTGGAGCTCCCTTAGGGCTTAAGAGAGACCTGAACACCTCTGCAGTGGCAGCTGAAGGGCAGGCAGTGCCTAATGACACTATGTGATACATGTTTTTAGGTGATCAAATCCAGCTCCTTGTCAATAAAATCAACACAGCTAACCAGGCACTGGGACCTTGTGTCAGTGGTGTAAACATGGGCATCTAGAGTCCTTTCGGATGGCCAAAAAAATGAACACATAACACAGATCTGCCGGATGTTGCAGACTTCTGGAGCAGGGTCTGGAGATCAGGCAGGGTACCATAGGAAGTCTCAAATGGCACTAGATGCCTGTGTTTAGGCTACTCAGCTGGGCCCCTGGCATGGAAGTAATCTGAATCACTCTAGAATCCACTAACTGCAATGGCTAATTCTCCACTGATTGTAGCAGGAGTTTAGTCACCTAGCTTTCATGTAGACACCTAAATTTACATTTTTTAAATCTGAAGCTGACTCCTACCACAGATGTCTGCATGGTAGATATCTACAGCTGATCTAGTTACTTACGCTCTCTTTAAAGAGGAAAGAAGTATGCTCTTTAGGGCAGTTTCCATGTGAGTATATTTTATGATGAAATGAATCAGACTCTGGAAATGCCTATTTCTTTTTTGTTGTAAGCATGGTCTGGACAAGAACCTCAGAGAGCAACAAAAGAAGGGATATGATCATCTCCACTGGAAAGAAAGAAATGAAGCATTTGGGATTAGAAAAAAAATGCTATAATGGAAAACATATTTGAGAGAAATGAACAGAAGAGGGAAAGAAATATTTGACTTTTTACTTAGTTTTGACTGTAAGACTACTTCCTGAGTAAAGGAGCTTTTCACTCAGAAGTATGATATGTTCTGGGAATGATGAGTAATTTCTTCAGGGTGGAAGAATTTAAGTGGAGTGTCTTGTCCTGAAAGACAAAGGCTGTTAACAGCCTGTTGTATCACTGAAATAATAAATGCTGAGCTTCATCTCTATTTCATGCTAACATGCATCAATCAATTGATATTTATATACTTTGGGATACAGCCTTCACAATACAAAGGTTGGGTTCTCCAAAGTTACAAAAACGCAGGACATAACAGTTGAGCATGGAAAACACCAAATATGCACAGTCTCTAATTTCCAAACACGCACCTCATGATATACATTATTCAGATTAGCAGGAACTTCTACTTAGACCAGTTTCAAAGACTGATATTTTAATTTCTCTTCTTTCTTTTGCAACAGACAGTTCTAATTCATGTTAACACTTTCCTCTTGTTTTGCCTTACAGATGGGAAGATATATGATGCGTATGTTATCTACCCCAGAAGCCACACCAATGAAGCTAATTTTGTGGAATATTTTGTTTACCAAATCATGCCAGATATTCTAGAAAATAAATGTGGATATAAACTGTGTATTTATGGGAGAGATATATATCCCGGAGAAGGTAAGTTTCAGGTCAAATAATGCACAGAATGACTTGTCAAGCTTGAGCAGATTGTGGTTCTAGTCCCTTTCAGGGGTATAGGAGGTCCCTTTATGTTCCTGAGCTGGCTGCTCATCTCCTCAGCAGCTGTGTGTCTCCTCTTTCAGGCAGGGTGACACAATGGCACTCTGTGCTTGCTGGTGTGCTAAGAAAAGCAAGCTACAGGGCGGGGGCACAGGTGGTCTGTCATCTTCTTGGGTCATGCGTACACCTGCTCTTTGGGTCGTGTAACTCTGCATAGCCATTATCTGGGCAAAGCCACAACCAAACCGTGCGTGAGTAGATCTACAAGACACGGAAGAGGAGAAAACCCCAAACTAAGTTGAGGAATTAACCTCGCTGTTATCACTCGGGGTTTTTCAACCTCTTACGAGGGCGTTAGTGTCACAGGAAGTTCAGCTTCTGTTCATGACATGACCTACTTTCACTTCACACAATTCCCAGTGCTAATTCAGGAGGCGGTTGGTATTCTTTATTCCCGCTTCCTTGTCTTCCAGAATGGAATCATGTTAACTAATTTGTGCTAATTTCCATATGGACACCTCTACGCTATCTCTTATGATTGCTGTCATCTATGTGCTATCTGCTTTCCTTCAGAGCTGATTTGTCTGTTTATTTTGTACTCTGGTTATTCCGTGGATCAGATCTTCTCTCCCTGTCAGTAAGCAGGCATGAAGCCAAAGCTGACGCATTTTCTGTTACACATTTCTGAAATCATCTGCGTCGGGCCGGGTGTCATTCACCTGCCCAGAGCTGGGCTGAGATCTTTGATGTCCTTCTCTTCTGGAGAGTGGCAAAAGTGCTGCCTGGCCTTGAGAAAACCCACTGCAACAAGCATGTAAAAAAAGCTGCAAGAGTGGCTGAGCGAGACCATTCCCAGCATGCCAGATCCAGAACAAAGAACTAACAATAACTGTCAATGACAAAAAATTATGCCACCTGTTCAGGTGATTAGGGACAGGGCAATATTTTGTTATGGCCACTGCTCTCAAACTGTGGTTTATGGATGGCAGTCCTGAAGAAAACTGAGCACAGCATGCAACTGAGCTGAAGACTGTGGGACTAACAAGGGCTCTAATAAGTTGGCTGAAAACAAAGACGTTTTCACTGTACAAAGGCATGAATGGATGCCTGTAACCCAGGAGTGACAGACAGAAGGCTCACCAAGCCAGTCTTGGACAGTGAGTAACTTTTGTTTGACTTGTTTGGTCTGATTTAATCAAAACTCTAAAAATGTCCTGAGCGTTGACCATCGTCCTTCCTTTTCTCTTCTTGCCTACTTTCCCAGCCTTCTGCTTTTCTCTTCCTTGTCCACTTTCATGCCCCAAAATGCTTCCACTTGGGTAGAAAAGCTATTCCGAATCTGCCTGCCACTGGGAGCACTTAAAAGTTCTCTGCTTCCATGCAGATGGACTTTACCCATATACTCCTCATTCTTGTTTATCTTCTGATCTTGAGCCTTTCATTACCAGGTTTCCAAATCCAAAACCTTACAATTTAAATAGGCTAAGTAGAGTAAACCAGGAAATGCCGTTTTGAGTTACTGAGATCCTTCCTGAACACGTATCATAGCATTTGATGAATCATATTTTTCACTGTAAAACTCCATGTATTTTCAGAGAAAAAAAATTGCAGTGAGGATATAAAATGGAATTATTGTTTCAAAACATGCTTATGATTTTCAGTTCCAGAGCAAAGCTTTGTAACTTGAAACTTGTGTTCTTCTAGCAAAAAGGAAAGTTAAACAGAATGATTCAAGTGATAAACAGCACTGCATAGCTTTTAGACACCCATCATGCTTCCCTAAACTAGCAGTCTTTTTGTTTCCCGGTCTTACTGATTAATAGTATTTTCTACAACCTAACAGTTGCCTGAAGAGGTGCAAATGTAAGTATTACCCAGCAAACCAAGAGTTTTCACCAACATCACCTTATACTCCATTCTTCTCATGGTCTCATTGTCCTGCCAACTGCATTCCTCGCTGCAGAATCTAACCAAACACTGCTGGAGCTGCTGTATCTGTAATAAAATAACATGAGCAAGTAACAGAGGAATGATCATACTTCACTGGAGCAATGTTCTGTATAGCCAATGTCCTATCTTCAGCAGTGGCCATGGGCAAAAGACTGGAAAAGACTTTAAGAACAGGGCAAACTTCTATTATACTTCCACTAATGTACTCTCCCAGCAGTGTGCGGACTTCAGATGCTCGAATTATTGTGTGCAATAGCTGCTGGATTTTTCTTTCACAGTATTTTCTGTCACTTTCTGAACTCATATAAACTTCTAACATTCACAAAACAGGTTGCAATGAATCCCTCGGTTAAAGTATTTGCAGCATGCCACCCCATCTTTCCTCTTGCCACAAGTATGCCATCGGAAGTCCAAATGGAGAAGTGAACACCTCCCCAGGTCCATGGTCTTTCAGTCCTGAGCACAATGGACTGCACCTCAAAACTGAGAAAGATGTTTTTTTGAAAGGGTTGTTATTATGGGAACTAAACGTATGACAGTAGCTGCTTACCTTAATTTTTCTCACCTTCCAAAGGATCTATTCTCCTAACATCAGAAAAATTAATGAAAAAGAAGAAGAAAATGAAAGGAGTTTGAAATGGTGAACATCACAGAAAGGCCAATTATTTTCATAGAATATTCTTAGAGCCAAGAAATAGGATGGAGAAGTCATTGAAAAGGTTCTCTTCCTGACCCAGGAGCTGAAAAAGCTGGGCCTCTCTGAGATGAGAAGACCCTTGCAATGGGCTGGCAGCCCCCATCAAAGGAAAAGAGGAGGCATATGCAGCTGGCTGATGACATCTGCAAATCAGTGGCTTTGTTAAATAATTGTTACATTAATTACATATAATTAATAATTATTACAATAATTTCCTTAGCTCGGCTCCCACCTCCTTTCTTTTGGCCCAGCATCACATGTTCCCAACAAAACAACTCCAGCGTTCATTCCACAGGATGAAAGACCACAGGAAACTCTTCTAACTGGGATGAGCGTTTCACCGGACAGGCATTCATCTGCAGTGTTCCTCCCATAGACATCACAGCAGGTCATCGAGAAAAGCAGCTCCTGGAGGCTTGATGTGGACCTTTCCAAGGTGGCACAGAAGTTTCTCCCATAGCATGCCGGCTCTTGAGTTTCCCAGGCTCAACACCTCCAGCATCACAGTCCCAGCTGTGGTTGATCTGCTCTCTCTAACGTGGCAGTGGGAAAAAGAAACACCTTTAGTCGTGCTGACATACAAATGCCCTGCAAGTCTGGACCCACATCCGCAGGGCGGATGCCAACCCTGTGCACAAGTTAGCGTATAAATGAGCAAGCGATAGCTCAGGAGAACTAACACTCCCTCCGCCGGTAAGCAAGCCTCTTAGAAGTCAGTCACTCAAAAGTCTCCAAATGACTAATTTTCATGGGTAAGTATTGCAGGATCAGTCTGTAAAGCACTAACTTGATAGAACACGATTCCTTATGTGGACACTATTGATCAAGCACAAATTTGATGCAATCCAGATCTACTGAACTTGACCCTAGGTTGTTGGGTTAGAAATTCCTAACAATTCTTAAGAGCAGTGAAAATATTAATGTTTCAACCGAAGAAAACATTTGAAAGGAAAGCTTTGATTTTTTGGGATTTTTTTTTGTTTTGGGATTTTTAAGCTCTTTTTCTAATGAATAAACTGTACCAGACCGAAGTGAGACAGAAGTTATTTCTAGTTAGAAAACAATGACAATTAAGTGCCTAAACACAAAAGACTTTATAAAAGAAATTTCAGGGTCTCATTATTTTCTTGTACATTCCTAGATACAGCCAGTGCAATTGAGAAGAGGATGCAGAAGAGCAGACGGCTGATCATCCTTCTAACACACCAGCTGATTAATTGTAAAGAACCTGCTTATGATCAACACATTGCTTTATACAATGCCCTCATTCAAAACGATACAAAGGTGATTCTGCTGGAAATGGAGACAATTGGGACTTATGAGAAGCTTCAGGAATCTCTTAGGTTTATTATTAAGCAGCAAGGTACCGTCAAATGGAAAGAGCAGCACACTGTGCACCCACAGTCATCCAATTCTAAGTTCTGGAAACAGGTGAGGTATCATATGCCACTGACACTCAAGTCCGCGTACTCAGCTAATGCCGAGTGAACCGTGGGTCTAAGCAAATACTGGTACACTGTCAGGATGAATCACATGCCTGCAGCTCCTTTTCCTTTCAGTAGGTACACGATTTTACAGCCTGGAAGTCTGGCTGTATTTATGAATATTTTCAATTGAATAACAATAAGGTGAACTGATGGAGGAGGTCTGGGGAACTGAGGGAAGTTTTTATAGGTATGGGAGTTCTGTAAATAAATCATTCTAGGCTGTGTGCAGAATTTTGCATGTCACAGGAAAAAAAAAGTACTATATTGTTTCTATATACACTCATACATATAACAGAAAGTTTTAGCTGAATGTTCTGCAGGTGTGCTTTACCTTTCTAATGCAGTTGTTCAAACATAAATGCCTTCTCTTATTATGCAACTAGAAAGCATAATGTGTATTGTTCAAGTAGACAGTATAATGCTGTGCTTTTGTTAATTTTTGCCACCACTTACTCCTTTTTCTTTCAATAGTAATAGTCATACTATGAAATTTTATTGTTCCTTATTAGGGATGCCTCAGTAAAGGCTCCTTTGAGACTGATGTGAATACAGCATTTAAAAAAAAAAAGCAGTGTTAAAGGAAATAAATACACTCTGATATATATTTATATGTATTTTTATATCTTATGTATTAAAATGATTCTCACACAAAGGGGAAATTTAAATCTTTCAAGTACAACAGACCATGCTGTTGCTATTGTCATTATCTCCAGGTAGAAATAACATTTTAAAATGTAAGTTGTTTGTTTTTTTTTTTTTTTTTTTTAATCAACTAAGTTAGTCATTTAAGCCAAGGAGGGAGCAGGAGACTTACTGCATTTTTGTAACAGCCAGTATCCACCTTTTTTTTTTTTCTGCTTTGACCTTATGCCTAGTTATACTTTCTTCCAATAGGGAACGCCTGGAGATGCAAAGGTCAGAGCCAAATCTCCTCCTAGTTCAGGGTGTATGAACAAAATGTGTTCTAGTACAGATATCTTTGGAACTTTAATCTTTCTAGCTTCTCAAAACATGGAATTTTCTTACTGTTGGCAAAGGCTTGGTTTTGAGCTTCAAGCTTGCTACAGAGATGGACTGCAAAAATGAAAATGAGATGCAGAACATCTAATGTTACCAAGTCAGGCTTACAGAGCAGGCAAGTCCTTTCCTTTTACTGTAAGTTTTTATTGAATGTGCATCTTCAGACTTACGGATGGCTATTTGGAGGAAAAATATGCAATATACGTATAGATTTTTTTCAACATTAAATTAAAAGATCTATGGCAAACTAAACAGCTTTTCACTGATGAGTTATTTTTTCAAGTGTTCGTGCACTCATCGCTCACTATAGAACTTCTAATGTAGCACTGTATTATTGCCTCATTAGGTTGTGTGCAGTCTTGGGTCCTGTTCCTAAAGATCCCTCTAGATAAACCTCACTGTCTGTATGGAAACTTCACAAAATGGATTCATGCCAATGTAAGAGAGGATCGGTTTATTCCTACAGTACCATTTCTTCCCACAAAAAGAATACTAATACTAGGGCATGTGTAAAGGCAGGAGACCTGTTGCTTTTCACTATGAAGATTTTTCACAGCAGCTTCTAAGCAAGACAGAATATTCACTTCCAATATTATTACAAGATCAGTTTTTAATAGAGTTTGAGTCCTGGCCACTTAATGAGGAAGAAAGGATGATAACTGAGTATCTTGGAAACAAAAACTCTAGGACGAATTTTGAAGCTGGAAAGGGATAAGAGAAGGTACAATGCGGAAGTGCATGGGGTCAGCAATGAACCAAATTTCTCTGAAACATACTGATATCTCATTGACTTCTATTAACCAGGTATGTAGTTATGATGGTGAAAAACAAACTCACTAAATGGCTCTTGTGGTGACACTCCTTTTGTATCAAGCCTTATGGTCAACCAAGAAAAAAAGAGGAAAACAATTTCAAGCAAAACCTGACAACTCTTATTGTAGTTTACCAGCAGCGAACAGTATGACCTTGACAGAAAGAAAAGGGGCAAATTCTGAGAGTGGCAAAGAACATTTGCAGAACCAGGGGGTGAGTATGTGACTATAATAATGACAAAAAAATGCCGCAGTTGTCACTTCTTTCTGTATTCCTTGCTGGTTAGTGAAGAAATCTGAGATATGCATTAAAATTAATGTCTTTCTACAGATGTTATCACATTTGTAGTGTTAAAGAGAAAGCACAAAAAGAACTGTGGAATACTTTTACAACATCATTACAACATCAGCAGTGCTGAGGCCACACCTGGAGTCCTGTGTCCAATTCTGGTCTGCTCAGTAGGAGAGAAACATGGACATATTGGAGAGAGTCCAACAAAGGGCCATGAAGTTGGTGAAGGGACTGGAGCGTCTCTCTTAAGAAGAAAAGCTGAGAGAGCTGGGACTCTTTAGCCTGGAGAAGAGAAGGCTCCCATCTGAAGGCAGGGTGCAAAGAAGAGGGAGTGAGGCTTTTCTCAGTGATGCCCAGTGACAGGACAGAGGCAATGGGCAAAAACTGAAACGCAGGAGGTGCCCTCTGAACATCAGGAAACACTTTTTTACAGTGAGGGTAACCCAGCATTGGCACAGGTTGCCCAGGGAAGTGGTGGAGTCTGCATCCTTGGAGATATTCAAAAGCCGCCTTGACATGGTCCTGGGCAACTGGCTCTAGGTGGCCCTGCTTGAGCAGGGGGGTTGGACCAGATGACCTCCAGAGGTGCGTTCCAACCTCAGCCAACCTGTCATTCTGTGAAATGTGACTTAAAAAGAATCTAAATTTTCAAAAACATGTTTTTAAAGAAAATTGGCAATTTTTATTTCTTATTGCCTTGGATACAAACAAAGTACACTAGGCAGGCTGCCTTAGTGGACCAGAAGACAGTCTGCCCTGTGCAAAACATTTCGCTTTTCACCATAGAAAGCTTATAGAAGAATCAGTTTGGATACTTAAACCTTAAACTACATAGAACAAAGGTAATTTTGTGGCTGAATTAGAACTTCCATATAGAGATTTAATGCCCTTTAATTTCTGCTCTGTGCTTCCCTGTTTTTGGTACCTCAAGCGACTCCGGAGAGCAGATTTGCTTTCACTTGTTGATAGAGCAGAGTCATCATGCCATCTAGTGGATGAACAGGTATCAAGAGATTCAGACCAATTAGAAATAAATCGGTTTTAAGAATAGCATTAGAATTAAACACAGTGAAATTTTCAGGGTGTGCGTACTGCTGTAATCTGCTGAAACCCATACAGCATTATTTGTAAACAGCAGCTCAGAAGCTGGCATTGAGAATACAGTCCTGACTCTCTTATAATAACGTATTTTGAAGGAACAATAGTGTCTCCTTGCCATATAACTGCAGTCATAGAGAGTTGTATGTCCCCAGCTGTAAAATCTTATCTCTGGATACCTCATTTCTGAAAAGTATACGCTGCATTGCTGGCAATAAAGAAATAATGAACCATGACCCCTGCTGGCTTCTTCACCTAAACCACAGTCCTGAAAAACCAGCCTAGCTAGTGCTCCTGCCACATCCAGGGAGAGAGTTTTGCCTATGATTGTGAAGCCCAAAAGACTGACGACTAGAAGGAAGTTTTTGGAAGTTTTTAGAAGTTTTTGTAGGAAGCTATTATTTGTAGTGTATGCAACATTAATTTCTTATGCCATTGGACAAAGGTATGTTTGGAAGATAATACGTAAAATCGATAGTATATTCTATTGAAAAATCGTACATGTAAATCTGTATGTTCCCGACTCTTTCAAGGGTTGAAAAACTACGGCTGTTATGTTAGAAACATATGCTCATGTGCTCCCTTTTCCCACTTTAAAGCATGAGCTAACTGCCTAATTTTATATGAAAGAGAATTTGTTGTATAGCAGTTTATTCTCCAAAACTGTTTCCAGTCTTTATAGGCCTCCTGGGAAGGTTACGAAGCAATCCTCCTTGAAGCCGTTTCAAAGTACATGAAAGAGAAGAAGGTGACTGAATTTAAAAAAGGCATATCATGCATATCCAGCCATGCTGTGGGCAATGGGAGAACACTGGATGTTGCATACCTTGAATTGAGCAAGGCCTTTGACACAGTCTCTGTTGGTGAGATACAGATAAGTGGACAAAGGAAAAGTGGAAAAACAGAGGGGAAAAAAAAAAAGAGGAAAAAAAAGTCCGTGTGGGATCAATGTGTTGTGATCAGTATACTAATCTCAGCTCACAGTAAATTACTAGTGGCATCCGTCAGGGACTGATATTGGTACCACTGCTGTTTAGCATCCTTATTAATGACCTTGGCAGTGAGACAGACTGCACAATCAAAAGATTTTCATGACAGAAAAACAAACTGGGGAAGGATAGTTGACACATTGGAGGGCAGGGCTGCTCTTTTGGATGGAAGCAGGCTGGAGAAATGGACTGATGGGAAACTCATAAGGTTCAACCCACATGCAATCTGGGATGGAAAAAACCCTTTCAACAACACAGCCTGGAGGTCAACCCAACACAAAGCAGCTTTCCAGGAAGAGACTAGATGTCCTGGTTGACACTAAGGTGAACATGAGTCAGCAGTGTGTCCTTGTGACGAAGGCGACCAACTGCACCCTGCACCTTACTAGTGAGAGTGTAGCTGAGGAAAGTAATTATTCCCCCGTAGTCAGCATTTGCGAGATCACCTCTGGAGTACTATGTCAAGTTTTGGGCTCCCCAGTACAGTTGAGGCACTGACATACTGGAGCGAGTCCAGGGAAAGACCACCAAGAGCACAGGACATGGAGAGGACAAGAGGTCCTGTTTCTGTCTACAGGAATCTAATGGAAAGATAGAGAGAATGGATGGAGCCAGGCTCTTCTCAAAGGAGCACAGCGATGGGACAAAAAAGCAACTGGCACAAATTAGGACACAGGAGATTTAAATTACATATTAGGAAAAAAATTTTCACCATATGCATGGTAAAATGCTGGAAAATTTGCCCAGAGAGGCTATGGGATCTCCATCCTTGGAGGTGTTTGGGTCTCAGCTGTACATGCCCTGAGCAGGGGCTGGACCTGATGACCTCCAGAGGTCCCTTCCAACCTGAATTATTCTGTGATGCTACGACGTGGAGGAAAGTTTGCAAATGTGCAACTTGAGTATTTTAAAACTTCTGAGAAACATATGAGGCGAGGCTCCAACAGACATCAGTCTGGAATCTGCTTTTTGACATCAGGGATAGATAATGCTGTAAAAAATATGGAATATAACTTAACCTCTGCTAAGAATTAATAACTGGTATACAGAGATGACAGAAGTAGATTAAAAAGGACTATTACCAGCTAGAAGCAAAAAGGCTTAGACTGTGGTTACAAGAGTTGGATGTGTCGCTATTTATGATGAAAATAGTTTCACAGTTTAGGTTTTCAGTTAGCACCTCTATGTAGCGTATGTTGGATGGAAAGGAAGATGTGAAAAACAGTGAGAAGTAACTGGTCTTCCCCAGCTGATTGGTCAGGTGGTCAGAGCTTCATACAAAAATGTGTTTTTCAATATTAGTGCAAACTTTCATTTTCATCATGGCATTTTCATAATGAAAAGTTGAGCCATAGTTATTTTTGGCTGAGTTTCTTCTCTATTAGGAGACTATGACTTCTCCATTAAAATTGTATTAGTCTGAGGACTAACAAGTGTAAACTTTATTCTCCTTTCATATACAGTCACATATCTCAGAGCTGGCTATGACATTAGTTGAGAGGACTGATTGAACACAGCACTTTCTACAACACAGATGAAAGTTCAGAAACTTGAGAGTATTTCAAAAGGATATGAAAGCAAATGCATGTGAGAACAGCTCATGGAAAATATTGTAAAAGAGTGAACAAAAAAAAATTAGGTGTTTCCAAACTAGGACTATCAAGACTTAGCCTGTCAAAGTAAAAAGCTGGTGACATTTTACTTTACCATTTCATTTGTTGGCTGCTAAATTGCTTTTGGACTCTCATGTAAAATCATTATCCTGTTTATGATATATGCTTTCTTTTAAGTTTTAAAATCAGGCACTGACTCATAAACCCAAAAACCACCGCAAAGTATCTTGTACACATTTTTAAAGTAGTTATAGTGGGTCAGATTCTTAGCTATCTTTCCTGAAGTTCTCCTGATTTACATTAGCTAATGGTCTGGTTGCTTTTATATACAATTGTTTCAATCTGTGATGAGGAAAACAAATGAGGTGAGACAGTAAAACTCTCCAGGGTTTCTTCGCTTCATTTCAGCAGTTTCATTTCAGAAACTGCAAAGAAGCCAGCTCTGTGGAATCCCTCCTTTTTTAGTGTAACCTGCTTGTTTTACCTCTGAACTGATACCTCCTGTTGCTCTCGGGAACTTCTGCATTCCCAGCTGTCCTGGGCAAAAAAAAAAAAAAAAAGGGGAGCTGTCACCAAAAAAGCTTTTGAACATTAAAAGGGCAATATGAAAATAAAAGAAATCCTGTGGGGATGAATTTTTTCCTGCTTTTTATTATTTTTATTTCAGAATAACTTTATTTAGAAGTATAGTGAATCATTGCACAGCACATACCGAATAAACCATTAATGTGAAATAAACAATGGCAAGCATTCATTTACTCAGGAACAGTACTTAAATAGGAAATACGGCTGTCAGAAATCCTTAATGGAACTACTGTTCCAATATATCAGTATTTGGCTAAAAAGCAGGCTCAGCTTCTGGCATGAGGGCTTATTTAGAAGTGAACACATACACTCCCTTTGCAGTAATGGAGCTATAAAATGTTTCATGTCTTGAAAGTTTGCATTACTCTCTCCCCAAAGGGGATGCTATCACAGAAAAAATAGCATGGAAATCGGGACATTTCTGATCAAAGTATCGTAGGATCACGTTTTTGCCTTTTCTCTTTTCCTGCAGACCATATTTTAACACTTGGTGTGTGTGTGTATTTCTTATTTTTTCTTCTTTTTTTCTTTTGAGGTCTTTGGAGAATATCAGCCTTTCAGGGTACAGTTTATCTCTTTGCACATCCTCATTCTCAAAACGTCCAGTGGGGGCGGGGAGGAGAAAGCTGTAGTAGAGATAAAAGTCGCTATATTTAGCTTAATATATGCGTTCCTAAACCTCCATCCTACTTCTATCACACTTCTTGGAAGAGAGTCCTTCAACGGGCATTCAGCAGAAAAGCGGAGGAAGAGGCATTTCGACTAAAGGCAACCGAAGACTTCACCTCCTTACGCCTTTTTCTCGCCCGGAAGGTTGTGAGAGGGAAGACCCCCGTCTCCTAAAAGAGTTGATCTTCACCCCCTTTGCTCGCAGGGGGCACCTCTGGGTTTCACCCACGACCGGGTGACAGCCCAGCACCCTTTGGCAAACCTGGTAATACTTCAGCCTGCCTTCTCCGCGCTGCTGCCCGGCCCCAGCCCCGGCCCCGGCCCCG